ATATCTTAAAAAGTATTGTACGAGAAGTAACAAACCTGCAACCTCTAACGTGAATCGTTTTCAGGCCTTATCTATGCCCACCTTCGGATCACTGTTTTTGGAATAACTTATACTAAGTCACAATTGGACAAAGGATTTTAAAGCACCTGGACCTTATTCAAGAAAACTGAGAACGGTTTCACGGTTTCTTGTTCCAGTATATTACACCCGCTATGGTAAGAACCTGCCATCTTTTTTATAATTATAATGCAATTAAATGCAAAGGGGCAAGCGAGCTGGACAAGAATGACGAAAATAATCCCTGGAGAAGTGGAACAAGAGGGACAAAGGACAAACACAAATCTCCAAACACAGCTAGGTGAGTGGTGAGGAACTGAATTAAATATCCCTCAGATATTCAATTCTTTACCTTCCGAATTCTTCGACTTCACATCAAGAAAGAAATTCAAAATGCGCTTCGTCATTTTTATCTACCAACGAGGCCCTGTAATCCGTCACAATTTTATTTCACAATTCCTTTGCAGTTCTATAAAGAATGTTGACCCAGGTAGCACACCATGTCGGCCGATACTGGGATTACGTCGGCCAGTACCGGGAGCTGTACGGCGGATCCCGGCCAGGGACGCCGGTAACAAGCCGATCCGGGCCGATATCGGGGACTCGTTGTCTAAACTGGCCAGCGCCAGCCGGGAAATTCCCGATACCGGCCGACATCGTTTTCTTGCTGTAGTCACCGGCCAGTCTAGCCGTGGAGTTTCCGGTGACTGGCCGATATCGTTTTCTTGCTGTAGTCGCTGGCCAGTCTAGCCATGGAGTTTCCGGTGACTGGCCGACATCGTTTTCTTGCTGTAGTCACCGGCCAGCCTAGCCATGGAGTTTCCGGTGACTGGCCGATATCGTTTTCTTGCCGTAGTCACTGGCCACTCTAGCCATAGAGTTTCCGGTGACTGGCCGACATCGTTTTCTTGCTGTAGTCAGCGGCCAGTCTAGCCGTGGAGCCTCCGCTGACTGGCCGACATCGTTTTCTTTCTGTAATCACCGGCCAGTTCAGCCACGGAGTTTCCGGTGACTGACCGACATCGTTTTCTCGCTGCTTTCACAGGCCATTCGAGCCATGCAAGTTTTGATATGTAACCGACATGGCTTTTTCGCTGATATAGAAACTATATGATGGTTACAAATGACCGTTAGGTTGGACATGTCTTCAATATGCTAAAAGGTGACACCTAATATTATCCTTGGCCTAGTATTAACGCCGCGTCATCCTTAAACCAGTTAACAAAGGCTTATTTCAGTTTTGTTAAAAAAGACGGGATCAAACATGGCTGTGGAATGAAAATTCAATTTGGTTTACATCTATTAATTTTTTAGAGAGCAGCTCTTAGACGCCCGTTTCCGGCTTGAGCGGCATCGCCGTCGCAGTCGCCGTCGGCGTAACCGCGCGTTGAATTATGGGAAACGTCCCATAATGCAACGCGCGGGTCTCACTCGTGACCCGCGCATTGCATTATGGGGCCTTTCCCATAATGACGGCGTGTGCGCGTTGCATTATGGGAAGCGTCCCATGATGCAACGCGCGGTCGGCGACGGCGACGCCAACATCGCCGTCGGCGTAACCCCGCATTGCGTTATGGGAAACGTCCCATAATGCAACGCGCCGTCTCATTTGTGACCCGCGCATTGCATTATGGGAAGCGTCTCATGATGCAACGCGCGGGTCGGCGACGCCAACGTCGCCGTCGGCGTAACCACGCGTTGAGTTATGGGAAACGTCGTATAATGCAATGTGCAGTCTCATTCGTGACCCGCGCATTGCATTATGGGACGTTTCCTATCATTACATCACAATTGACGTCACATGTGACGTCACAAGGGTCCCGCACGTTGCATTATGGAAAAAGTCCAATGATGCAATGCGCGGGTCACTCGTGACCTGCGCGTTGCATCGTGGCGGCGAAACTTGCTTTCGATGAGTTGGGCATTTTTACTGCGGCACTGCGCTTCCGCAAAAAGTTCCACATGTTCTCAACGGCAAGTCTCAGGGCTTACACAGGGTTTTAAAGAGCTTCGACGATTGACTACGAACGAGTAGAAAACGTGTCTTCAGCATGTTGCCGCCAGCCTCCGAAACGCTCCAAAAACGCGATTTTTCAACATGCAATATCGCCGATCGGTGGCTTCACTCTTGTGCTGCAGCTGCTGCGACCAAGCGGGGATGCGCGATCCAGCCCTTTGCTCAGGCAGATGCCGAGCGCGCCGCGTAAGCGGTCGTTCAGCGGTCGGTCTCAGTAAGCGATCCACCCAGTTGCACGCGCTGCCACCGCTTTCATAGCGTCTGCCCTCGCTTTTTAGCAGTTTCGGTTCCCATTGCTATTTTGCTGAAAGCATGAAGTTCTGATCGGAACTTCATGCTTTGATAAAATGTCCTGCCGTCGTGGCGCTGTACGTTTTGCAAAGGGGCTGTTAAGCAATACCAAACACGCATGCCGTAAAGCGACCGTCATCTCCGCAGGCGAGTTCGATCTGAGGGGAATTTGTCGTACTGTCTTCTAGCAAACGACATACCTAGCTCTTCATCCGAATAGGTGTGCACAACGTCTTCGACGTAACGCCATATCTTGGGCCTCTTCGCTGGCAAGGCGAATGAGTGGGCAAAGAATTCGCCGAGAACGGCTGCCTCGTCGTCACTCGAGCTGGAGCTAAGCTGGTACCTTCGTCGCTGTCGCTGATTTCGCTGCTACTGCGTTTTATTAGACGATGTCAGCGCCGCAGTATGCTCGGGCCAGTCGGTCATGACAAGAGGAGCGAAAGCAAGCACAGCAAGACAGCCCACCCAGCAATCGAAACAAAAAAACAGCGAAACTCCTTCATTTCCCCGCGGCAACGTTGGCCCCCGAAAAAGGCTGCGCGGAGAACTACTCCGGGTCCGAGCGGTCTGTCCGAGGAAGACACAGTTTGGGCGGCACATTCGTTTTTTACATCATTCTGCATGATCGTAATCGAAACGTCACGTGCACCCTATATTCAACCAGAAAGGGTCACTACTTCCATAAACCCCTGCGTGCAACACGGCGCGCGTTGCTCTTCGGGAACTAGTTGGCCACGGAGGAGAGTGGCATGGTTTCGGTTTCGATCGGCAGCGTGGACTATTAACGGCCGTGATCTCACGTTTTTTGGTCTCGAGAGCATCATTTTTGGTCTCTAAACTAACCTAAATGGCCAGACCTCGAATCTATAGCACAAGCCCGAGACGTATAGCTTGCCTTCACACATGCTTGTTGTATTTTTTTACTCTATCGAGCCTTTCTGTTTGCGTTTCGAGATATATGTGAACGAGCCAGTGCTGGGAATCTCGACGCTGCGTAGCTCGGGTATCTTGCTTGTGTACGAGTCAACAAGCTGTAACGACCAATAAGTTTGCATACATCGAGCTCGCACCTTTACAGCTGGTCAGGAAGTTTGTTTGTTTTATGCGTCCATGGACGAAATAATATTTTTTACAACTACTGTTTTTCTTAATACGCCTGAGTACGTGAGGTAAAACTTGGAGGCGCCATTGAAAAGCTCAATTTGAACACACATCTTATCTCGTATCTGTACTGACCCGCAGCACTGCACGAAGCTAAGTCCCCACCCGCTTGCATTCCGCTAATATTCAACATCGCGTATGCACATAAATTTTTTCTGCAATCATAGAGGCACATTCCCCCACACAAACCGTTTTAAGAAAGCAAAAGTCGAGCAATTGTGTGAAGAATGTCGCACCGTTCGCCGGAAGTGCGTCGGACGGGCGTAAACCTCTATGCGGTGTGCCAAAGGAACGAAATTATTCAAAGCGCATTTGACGGTTGGTAATGGCCGTAATATTTATGTGTTTGCTTTCTTCCTGACTGAGTATGCCGAGATAATTTCAGACACACCGTTCAGACACAAATCTTGGGCGTCAGTAAAAGCTCGTCCAAAAAGGCTTAGCGAAGAGTAGGAGACGCTTGTTAGAGCCTCCGCCGTAGCTAGGCGACCTCAGCGTTTGCGAAAACCTAATCTCCCATCAGCGTAAAATTTGAGTGGGCGATATATGATGACAAGAGGAAGACACCATAGTAATTTGTGTGCAGTAATTTCTGTGCAAGGAAATTGCCCCAGTTTTCGCTTTGTCAACCATTTCGTCGTTTACCCTGAGACTGTTTTTTTTTTGTTTTTTTTGAAGAGCAGAAGTAACAGAAAAAACAGACAGGTCTCAGGGTAAACGACGAAATGGTTGACAAAACGAAAACTTCCACCAGCTAGCCTGTACTTTGACTCTTTTCTCGTTTCGTTTTGTATCGTTCGAGAATGAATGTATTGTACGTTCGTGAAAAGTCAGATCATCAAAAACTCAAGCGGCGCATTCGGTCACGGCGTGATAGCATGAAAGGAAACTGCTCAATCGAAACCGAAACTGAGTGGCCAACTAGTTCCCAGAGGGCACTTCGTCGAAGCGTCGTGTATTTCTTTGTGCCCCCGGTTTTTTGTTTTTTTTTTACAGAGTAGCACAGTAGCACAATTATATATTTCCGACTTCGTGTTTAGACTAGAACAGACCTCATCCAGCATCGAGCCAGCTGTTGATAGACTTTGCTAGAAAGCCGATCCAGCATCCAATCCAAAGCCGGACAAGGTGAGCAAACACAAATGGCGAGCGGGACGTTGGCGTGGTTCGCGGCATGGTTCAGGTACAGAGGCTAGAAAGGGTTTCCTAGTGTCCCGAGCGTACGCTCTTCCAAGCGGCCACGGAGAAACCGGTTTGGATGACGCGCGCAGGTGGCGCTGCGTCCAGCAGGCGCGCCATTCTCCCCCTAGGCGGCCCGGGCGAAAATGGCGGAAGCACGTTTTTCCGTGTGACAGAACCGAGCCGTCCGAGGGTCTTCCTTTGTTGTTTGTGCGGATCTGTGGATTACATCGCGGTGCACAACGAAAGACCAACGGTGTGTCATGCGTCAGTGTGTTGGATGCATCTGATCATGCCGGCGAAGAAAGGTAGGACCTGCTTCGTGCCGTTGTGCAAAGGCGGCTACAAATCGGCTGCAGAAAAAGTATCGTTGTTCCGGGCTCCAGTCGACCCCCTTCGTCGGCAAGAATGGGCGAGGAACATCAAGCGAGAAGACAAAGTTCTCGACGAAACCTGTGTCGTGTGTTCCCGTCACTTTGATGAACGCTACATAGAAAAAACTTTCAAGCACGTCATCAATGGCGAGCTCGTCGAGCTGGACCGCGAACGGCCAGTGCTCACCGACGACGCCGTCCCTACGATATTCCCCAACGCCCCCTCGTATCTGACAAGGCCTGTCCCAAAAAAGAGGAAAGAAAGGAACCTCGCTGACCGTGGTACCCCACCAGTGAAACGCAGGGCTGCAAGCGGATCCACGCATGACAGTGATCCTGGAAATGCCTGTACAGAACCAGCGCCGGAGACGCACCCGTTCAGCGACATTCTGCCACCCTCGATGTATTGCAGCAGAATCATTTTATCGAACGATCCAACGGCATTGTGCTTTGGATGGCACGCCAGGATGGAATCAGACGATCTGCGTGTCATAAAGCACGTTACGTTCTCGGCATGTGTCGAAGCCACCGCTGCACAGGGGAGCGCATACCTTTGCGCCATATATTGCCGAGGCATCAAAGTCGAAGAAATTTGTGTAAGTAGACGAGATGACGCCCTTGGGGCATTGAAAAAGGCCGAGCAATTGCGTCTTTGCCCAGGCTGTGAAATTGAGCCAGTGGCAGCTGGTCAGTGTGTCCAGTTTGGTTCCATGCACTTCGCAAAAAACTGCTGTGTGACAACACCTGACGGGAGAGCTTGTTTACGATGCAAATACAGAAAAAAGCTCATCCAAAACCAGACGTACAGGCTCAAGAAGAAACGTCGAACGACATTTCAGCAACGGATTGCCAGGGAGTCCCTTCAGCTGCTCCGGGCGAAAAAAAAGGCTAGAAAAAGCCCAAGAAAGTGTTGCAAAGCTTCGGGCAGTCACAGAAACAATTTCCAGCTCAGTTTTGGAGGAGAAAATCAGGAGCCTCCCACCAAAGCAGCGTCTTGCTGTAAGAACCTGTTTTGAGGCGGCATCCAGAAAATCAAGCCGAGGCATGGCGTACGACATGCAGTGGGTCCTGGAGTGCATTTTGATGCGCATGAGAAGCCCCCAACTCTATGAGTATGTTAGAAGACACAAGATTATTGCATTGCCGAGCAAATCATGCCTGGACAAACACATGCAGGGATTTAAAAGCACGTTTGGTTTCAACACTAGTGTGTTTTCAGCTTTGGAAAAGAAAACACGAGACATGGACGAGTTCAGCCGACATGGTGGTCTTGTGTATGACGAGATTAAGCTCTCCGAGAACATCAATGTGACGGCATCTGGCGAACTGAGTGGCTTCGTTGACCTCGGTCCTTTCATGGAGGATAGCAACGAGACAGCACTGAGTGACCACGGCCTCGTCATAGTATTTCAACCCTTTAAAGGCAAGTTAATTTAAATAAGTATATGTCGTGACGGCGATACAATTGTACGCCTTTTTTGGTTGTTGTACATCCTAGAGCCTAGTCCACCTAGTGAAGTTTGTGATGTCATTTACAACATATTTACTTCAGTGATGCCTAAGCCGTGATTTACATTTTTATATTTCTCACAGTGAAACATCTTATTTTTGGAGGAAAGTTGACACAAATCCTCGGAGTCTTTGCTTCCAGAGGCAATGTAAAGGCGCCTGTCCTCTCGAAGATTCTCCTGGAGGCTACGATACTGGCTGAAAATTCCGGCCTCTTCGTCGATTTCTGGACAAGTGATGGTGCTCCCTGGAATCGCTCTCTCTGGAAGCTGCTCGGCATCAAAGGTGGATAATTTCCGTCCCAGAATCACAGTGAAAGGCTCTTCCTGTTATTCACAGATATTCCTTACTTGTGCAGCTTCGTCTAAGGAAATCACCTGCAAGGTTCCCCATCCTGTCGACACAGCAAGGAGCCTACACTTCATCTCTGATTTTCCTCATCTGATCAAATGCGTGCGGAATACTATTGTCTCAAAAGGCGTACAGATTCCATGTGGTCATGCTCATGTTGATGTCATCAAAGAGGCATGGAAAAGGGACAAGGAAGCATTGACACTGAAAGTGATGCCACACATAACACAGGCACATGTACAACCGAACGCGTTTGAAAAAATGCGTGTGAATTTGGCTTTTCAACTGTTCAGTCAAGAGGTGTTGAAAGGGCATTTCTTTTATAAAGGTGACTTGGAAAGAAGGTTCAGAACAACGGAGCCAACAGAGCAGTTTGTGAAGCTGATGGAGATGTTGATTTTCGTGATGTCATCCAGGGTCCCGTCTAAGGGCCTTCGAGCCCAGTCAGGAAGTGCCCAGTTTTTGAAAAAGTTCATTGCCTTCTTAAGTGAATGGGAAGAGTACGCTGCCCAACACGGTGGTGGATTCCTAAGCGCAGGGACTGCCCTTGGACTCCGTGTGACTCTACAGAGCACACTGTCACTTCTGGACTATCTGATTACCTCAGTGCACTACAAGTACTTGTTGACTGCAAACCTTAGTCAAGATGAACTAGAAAACATCTTTGGGATTGTGCGACAATCCTTTGGATGTAATGACCACCCCGCGCCTGAGCAGTTTTTGGTCATTATTAACAACCTAACTTTCTACAGCCTTGCAAGACCACCAAAGAATGGAAACTCGCCAGCTGAGGTTGTAACTGCACTTTTGCAGCCATCTGATGCTGGAAAAGAAAAGGCTGCTCGTGTAACAGCAGTCGTTGATGAACTGTTGGACGAGGGAAGTCTGGCTCATGCCGCAGTTGTGCTAAAAGAGCACAGTAGCCTGATTGACCACCACGTCTGTGTCGAGAAAAGAAGTGACAGTCGGCTGATATATTACGTAGCGGGTTACGTTGTCCGCAAGTCTTTAAAAAAATTCCCGTGCCCAGAATGTGCATCTTGCTTGAGTGTCCTGCCCCTGCAGGCTGAGTGCAATGGCAACGCCTCATTGACGAGAGAATTCGATCATGGGGGTTTGCTGTACCCTTCGAAACCACTGGAGGCACTGGTAACCAGACTGGAAAACGCCTTCACTGTTTTCTTTACCAGAAACAAGCTCCATGCTAAGAGCATGATCTGTTTCCTGCGCTTCCTTCAGGGGCATGCACTGCAGGAGGTTGGCTGCAGTGAGCATGGGCGCTTGGTCACAGCAAATGTCATCAAATTCTATGCTCTGACCAGGATGCATTTCTTTGCTAAGGCTGTTAACAAGGATCGAGATTCCCAAAGGGAGAAGCAAAAATTGCTCAAAATGAGGCCATGCCGGTGAGGACCGGACTGCGGTACTGGAGAGGCCGAGCACACCAAATAAATTTTTCGCGAACAAAGACCTGGAATAGACATTTAGCTTTGTGATGTTTTTTGTGGATAATTCGCAAGTTTGTATGCTCTTTTCCTTTGCTTGCGCGAATATACCTTTAATTCGTTTCCCAAGCAATGAGGAGATGAAGGGGTTGTTTGTTACACGCGCTGCGCTTGCTGGCGTCTGCAACGGTCGATTAGTAAAATAAAAATAAATGTCATGTTGCACACTCTCGTCGTCATCTCATTTTAGCGATTGACTTCCAACCTTTCTTACATAAAAGGCGAGCGCGTGCAGCAGATGAAACTACACTCAAGCGCTACTCTTTTGACCGTACCGCTCTGCGCGGTCTGTCTCAAGCGCGCTGCGGAGAACGCCCGCCGAAGCAGAGAGGTTTTGCAAGACTCGTAGAGAAGTGGTCTTTATATATATATATATATATATATATATATATATATATATATATATATGCGTGCGTGAAGATTAAACGATAGCGAGCGCTACAACAGCCACACATTTACATCCGGAGACGCGTCTCCCGTTGAAAACCGCGCGCCTACCGCCAAGCGACAGCGCGCCTGCAGGCAGTAGCGCCACCTGCCCGCGTCATCGCAAAATATTGCCGCTCCTCGGCCGCGTTGACGACACTAGGAAACCCTTTCTAGCCTCTGTAGTTCAGGTACGGTGGCTCCAGGGTTGAAAAATTGTATGTGACCGTGGTGGCGAGTGAAAGCGCTGAATGTAAATCTATGCGGGGCAGAAGTCGCTCGAAGTTACCGCCTGTGCTTTGATTTTGATGTTCGTGTTCTGTCGGTTTCGTCGTATGTAGGCCTAGTGAACCAACTTCCGCTCAACAGCGCTTGCTGGTGGTTGATTTGACGGTGTTGACGGCCTTTCGCCGTATCCCGACGATCGTTTCGTCGTGATGTCCCGCAAGACGGAGTAGCCGTCAAGTAAGAGAAAGTACGAGCAGCAGGAAAGGGATGCGACCGCGTATTATTTCGTAGTGGCGAGCGGCGGCACTTTTCTGTTCACGTTCGCGCACGTTTTTGCATCGGCTTCTGCCCGTTCGTAGTGTAGATGGCCTTTGCTTTTCGTTGCATCGCGCTGTTTCCACGCTTCGAGCGCACCCTCGGGACTCCCGGCCGAGTATGGACGAATGTCGCGCCGCAAGCCCGGCGAGACGGCAATCGTTCGGCGGCGGCATCCGTGTGTTGTAAGCGTTGAAGTGAAATTAGGGGGGGGGGGGGGGGGGGATGATAGAGTCAATCGTGTACGCGCGCTAGGCGCATTTGTCACTGACTTTGGGTAGGGCGAGGGGAGAAAAGTGAGGGAGAAGATAGAGGTAGGAGTCGGGCGTCAGGAGCGTCGTCTCACCGTCCCGCTCGCTCGTCATTCCATCGTCGCGCTTAATCCGTGAGTGAGTGTGTGTGTTGGGGGGGGGGGGGGGGGGATTTAGCACTGGTGGCTAGCACCGCGCGGTGTCCGGTGATCAAGGCGGTCTCCGGGGGCGACCGCGCCGTGTTGGTGGAGGCATGCTAGCTCGCCGAGACGCTGCTGGCGGGGCATCGGGTTGTGCCGTCCGCGAGACGCTTGTCCGGTATTTTATTTATCCTTGCATCAGGTTTTAGATTATGACGGTAAATTTGCATTGTTTGCCATACTTCGCAAAGTCGTAACAATTTTTCTACAGGCGACTCCTAGAGCCGCTCGACAAATTTTCCGGCACGCAATACAACTTTTTCTTTTTCGACACAATATTTTTTTTTTTTTTATTATAACTTAGCGGTATATCGAAATTTTCTGCTCGTACCGCAATTGCACCAATGCTGAAAAATTCCGCACGTACTGGCCAACCGTCATCATCGTAAGCTCGACTCGTTTTTCCGAGTTCACATCAAACAAAACTAGGTTCCTTCTATGAAAATACGGTGTACCGTTAAATACCGGGCAAGCGCGCACTCAAACTTTGGAAATAATCGAAAAAAAATGGCGGATAGGTGCTTGTCCGGTCGTCAATTTTACATATAAATGTACTGTGCGTATTTTCTCAGATCTCACAAATTTGGTAATGGGCGCTTAATGTGGAATGGGCGGATGCACGGTATTCTACGGTATGTCCAGGCAGTTAGCGGCATCCTACGCCTTGGTAAGCACAACCGCGCGTTGTGAAGTCCACCACCGGCGTGGCACAGGGCCCCGTCCTTACCTAGCATGTCGTCATATGCAAGGAATGTATACTCCGTTCGCCCCTAAGCTGAGACTAGAATCTCCGCCTTCAGTGCGAGCTCGCTGGCTTCTGCAGTGCTTTGGTTGCGCGTGCCTGCGTGATCGCACTTGTGTTAGCAAGGGCAGAAAGCTTCCGTATAAGGCGGAGCTTCTAGTCTCAGCTTAAAAATGAATGGAGTATAGTCGAAACGCCATTGCCATTGCTTGAAAAACTGGATGTAAATAAGCTAATTGCACGAAACCGCGGTATCACGAAACTGTTGCAAGTAAAAAGCTACAGAGCATGGTGTAAACAGACCTTTACGCGAAATGAGCACCGTTTTTCTCTTTTACTGCTACTTTTATTACTTGGCGTATACCGGAATGCGACGCCGTCGTGTTTCAATGTGGCCGTGCATGGGGATATAGCCATGGAGTTATTATAATATATGCTAAAGGTTGCGAAGACCTGACAGTGTGAAGTTACTTGAATGAACATCATGTCTGACCACGCCTTTTATTCTAGTGAGGAGGAGTACAGTTCATCGAAGAGAATGACGAAATAACAATGGCGTCCGTCCCTCTGTTGTGGTTCGACTTGAGTATGAAACAACGGCGGGTGGCCAAGCAAAATGCCTGGGGCGGACATCTTGTCTCGTGTGCGACCGGGCCAAGCACCAGACTCTGACTGGCCTTCGTTCAGAGCATCAAGTTTGCAGGAATACAGTAAGTATTATTTTGTACTGTTCCTTTTCATCTAAAGTCCTGATAATGTGCTAGCACACGTTTTTGATCTGCCCTCTGTTAGCATGCTTGACCAGATTAGCTTGCAGCAGTTGCTCAATTTAGTTAGCTCCATAATCTTCGTAGTGACACATGCACAATTACAGTAGTGACCGAGTTCTTCAATACGCTACTGGTCACAAAACTTTCCCGTAATGCTGTGGGAAAGCATTGCATGCTGCCAAGAACGGCCGTGGTGCTGTCCTACTCTGGAGAGGTTCGACGGACAGCTTAGAATGTTGTTTTTAGGTGCAGCAAGTTCGCTTCGGCGCCGTGCTGTGCAGCTTCTGTTTGTTCCTTGAAATGTTGTACCAATGGCCCGATTTTGGTGTTTTGTGAGATTGAGATCTCGGCAGTCTTGTACTGAGGGAGCTGACCTTTCTTTAACAGACACGTCGCCTGCTAACGTGAGTAAAGAGGGAGGGTTTGTCTGCCCTAGAGTGTCATTTGCTGCGGGAAACAAGACGCCGCTGCGTCGTCTGCTACCAGAACCGAAGAAAGGTGGATCATCTGTTACACGCTGTATGCTGCAAGTGAAACGATAAAAAGCAAAGTTGCTTTGGGAACTTCTGCTATTTAACAAGGGGTGCAATTGATGACCTGTGCTTTACTTGGAAGTGCCAATTCATTCTAAAGCGTCATATGCCTAGGCGCGAGGTATCATGTGACCACAGAGCAGCCGCTTGCAGCCAATTTCGTTTTCTATACCAGGGCAAGTGTTCTTAACGGGATTCTCTCCCATTCTTAGACGGTTGATAGTTAAAAAAAAGGCCGTCCTGAAAGCCCAGAAAATGGCAGTTCCAACAAGGGTACAGGCACCAAGCTGGGCCTAATAGGCACGGACCTATATATCAGATTTTTAAACTGGTGCTTATCGCAGCCAAGCGCAGCGCGTCTCGCGTGCGTCGCCGACGAATCAGTATTTTTATTTCCTCTGATTGTCAAAAAACATCATAAAACTTTGTGGGAGCATTCATTTTGATCATACAAGCCAAAACTGTGACGTTCTGAAAATTGGGGCCGTGTCTCCTTTTCAGAAAGTTTATTTGATTAACACATATTTTTTTTATTACATTTATGAATATTGCATACAAATTATAATGTCTTTTAAATTTTTACAAAAATTTGAAACACTCACTGTGTCTGGCAACCGTTCCAAAGCTACCCAAACCATCCGAAACACCTGAAGGTTCAAGCGTTCTTCTGAAACTTCCCGAAACCCAAGTTTCTGAAAAAGTTTCTTCGCATCATCAGTGCATAATGTTGATCAGCAAAATGGATAATGCTTTCTTATACCTTGGTTATTTTGCAGCCTTCAACGCTCAGCTGCTTAGGCCGTGATAGACCTGCACATCCAGAATGGGCACCTACAGCAGCAGAACAGGGAACTGCAAGTCTGTTGGGCAGGTGCTCGGGCACGTGGTGTCTTTCAAGCACCAGGGAGAGCAGGCGAGGCCTGGGGAACAGGTGACGCCCCAGGAACTGGCCAGGCCTGAACCACCCGAGCTGTTCCTGATGCCTCTCCGCAACATGGAACAGCTTAGTGCTGCAGAAGCGCAGCTGAAGAACTTCACCAACAGGACACTGCCGGTATTTATGTGTCCTCTTTTTCACAATATTGACGGGTATAAGGCTGCGATTCTTACTTTGTGGTTTAACTTGGGTTATCTGAAGATTTATGCAAATGGGGTCGGAATGTGGACTGAAGCCTTTTACCGTAATATTTCAAATGGATGCCCACCCAAACTATGTTTTAAACACAGTCAGTGGCAAATTAAAAATGAGTAAGTTGCCGTCCCTTCATTACGGGCCTTCTGTTATTTATAACAGCAGAGTGCTTGCACAGCCAATGCACATCGGAAGGCTATTTATTGTAAGGGGTACCCTTAAACTGAACCCTGCGGTAGAATTGTGTCAAGGTGACGCAACGCCAGTTGCACGTTTTGCAAGTCAGCTTTAGTAGCCTGCGTAAAGTT